CAGCCTCCTGATCCCATTGGGATCTCTCCCTCCTCATCCCACGGGAGCTTTTCCCATTGGGATTTCCCTGCCTGTGTTCCCCTCATCCAACCCCTCTGGATCCAAATCCCACTCCAGAGCCTCTCCCAGTTATCCGGGGACAATCCCAATCCCTGGGGAGCAACCCCAAATCTCCCTCCATTCCACAGGATCCGGGAATGCTCCGGGTGGGAATTCCGAGCTGAACCCATTCCATGGGCAGCGACAAATCCCAAAGCTCCTCCCATCCATGAAACATCCCACAAATTCCCAGGAAAATCTCCCTCGATTCCATAGGAACCTGGAATGTTCTGGGTGGGAATTCCATGGGTGGCGACAATTCCCAAAACTCATCCCATTCGTGAAACATCCCCACAAATTCCCTGGAAAAATTCCCTTGATTCCACAAGATCCCGGAATTCTTTGGGTGGGAATTCCGAGCTGATTCCATTCCATGGGCAGCAACAATTCCCAAAACTCATCCCTGGATGAAACACCCCACAAATTCCCAGGAAAAACTCCATTCCACAGGATCCTGGAATGCCCCAGGTGGGAATTCCAAGTTGATCCCATTCCATGGGCAGCGACAATTCCCAAAACTCATCCCTGGATGAAACAACCCAAAAAATTCCCTGGAAAAACTCCCTCCATTCCACAAGATCCCAGAATTCTTCGGGTGGGAATTCTGAGCTGATCCCACTCCATGGGCAGCGACAATTCCCAAAACTCATCCCTGAGCAATTTTCCCACAAATTCCCAGGAAAAACTCCCTCCATTCCAGGATCCTGGAATGCTCCAGGTGGGAATTCTGAGCTGATCCCATTCCACAGCCAGTGACAATTCCCAATTCCCAATTCCCAATTCCCATCCATGAAACACCCCACAACTTCCATGGAAACACTCCCTCCATCCCACAGAATCCTGGAATTCTCCAGGTGGGAATTCCGAGCTGATCCCATCCCATGGGCAGTGACAATTCCTGATTCCCAATTCCCAATTCCCATCCATGAAACATCCCCACAAATTCCCTGGAAAAACTCCCTCGATTCCACAAGATCTCGGAATTCTTTGGGTGAGAATTCCAAGGTGATCCCCTTCCATGGGCAGCGACAACTCCCAATTCCCATCCGTGAAACATCCCCACAACTTCCATGGAAAAACTCCCTCCATCCCACAGGAACCTGGAATGCTCTGGGTGGGAATTCTGAGCTGATCCCACTCCACAATTCCCAAAACTCGTCCCTGAGCAACCCCAGGGATGAAACACCCCAAAAATTCCCAGGAAAAATTCCCTCCATTCCATGGGATCCTGGAATGTTCCAGGTGGGAATTCCATGGGCAGTGACAATTCCCAATTCCCAATTCCCAATTCCCAATTCCCATCCATGAAACAACCCACAAATTCCCAGGAAAAACTCCCTCCATCCCACAGGATCCTGGAATGCTCCAGTTGGGAATTCTGAGCTGATCCCATTCCACAGGCAGTGACAATTCCCAATTCCCAATTCCCATCCATGAAACATCCCCACAAATTCCTTGGAAAAACTCCCTCCATCCCACAGGATCCTGGAATCCTTTGAGTGGGAATTCCGAGCTGATCCCACCCCATGGGCAGCGACAATTCCCAAAACGGAGCAACTTTCCCACAAATTCCCAGGAAAAACCCTT